TCTCTTTAATAACTTCCCAGAATCTCAATCTATATATTAACCATCATCAAATAAGTTCACTTTGTAAAAGTATGCTGATGATGTTCAGTTGTATATCTTATCCCTGGGCTGGCCAAACAATGCTTTTCAAATCATGTCTCAGTGCCTGGGGTCTCCAAGGAAGAAGCTTAGGCTCAATCCTAGCAAGACTAAGTGGCTGTGATGTTTGGGCCCCTGGTGCTGGAATCTTCCATCTTTCACCCTGAAAGGGATTGAACTACCCTATTCAGGCCTGGTGCACAATCTGGGGGTTCTCTGGATTCACAAGATCAGTCTGAAGAGCAGATGGCAACTGTAGCCAAGAGGCCTTTGCACAAGTTCATGTTGTGTACCAGTTGAGCCTTTTCCTAAACTGGAAGGCCCTTCTTACAATCATTCATGCCTTGGTCATCTCACAGATGAACTACTACAATGTGCCTCTACACTGGGCTACCCAATTATTCAGAAACTACAGCTCGTCCAGAATGCAGTGACATATGTAGTGATGGGCAGGCCATACCATGCCCATGTAACATTCATGTTTTATTAGCTGTACTGGTTACCAGTGGTTTCTAGGTACAATTCAAGATGCTAGTTGTCACTTTTAAAGCCCTACAGAGCACAAAGGCTAGTTATTTGAGAGACTGTCTATCTCCTATGGTTTCTGCCTGTCCTGTAAAATCTGATACAGCTGGCTCACTCCAAATCCCATATTAAGTAAAATCATCTAGAAGGACCCAGGAAGTGGGCCTTTTTTTTTTAGTTTTCTTTACCCCACCCTTATTATTTTTTATAAATAACTCAAGGTGGCGAACATACCTAATACTCCTTCCTTCTCCTATTTTCCCCACAACAACCCCGTGAGGTGAGTTGGGCTGAGAGAGAGTGACTGGCTCAAAGTCATCCAGCCGGCTTTCATGCTTAAGGCGGGACTAGAACTCACATTCCTGGTTTCTAGCCTGGAGCCTTAACTACTAGACCAAACTGGCCTTCTCTGCAGTGGCACCTGCTCTCTGGAACAGCATCCCCATGAAATTTGTATATCCCTTACCAGCCTTTAAAAGAGCACTATAAATATCACTCTACTCCAAGGAAACCTTGGGTTAGTGAATCTGGAGGATATTTTTGTCTGTTCTGTCTGCTGATGGGGGAGAAAGTCTGGTTGATGTTCCCTCCAGATTACACTATTTTTGTTTTATTTTGATTGTATGGTTTGTATATGATAAACTTGTATATGTTCAACTCTGACAGCCTTTAATAAGTAAAACAAATAAACCATTGTCTATAATCCCAGTTAAAATCATAGTTTGAAATTGTGCCCAGTTCTTAGTTAGGATTTTCTATTCTAACTCTTAGCTATAATTCACACAGGACCCACTTCTAAAATATTTTTCAAAATAATGTTTTTTATCATCTGCTATCTCAAGTTAATGTAGTAGTCTGAGAAATTCCTGCCAGGAAACCCCCCCCCCATTATTATGTGTGTGACAGTATGTTATAGCCGCTGCTGCTGCCATCCTGTCACATATTCAATCCAAACATATACACTGCTCTTTTTAGTTGAGAGTAGCAACTGGGAGAAGATAGCACATTTTTTTCTCATAGGAAATGATAGGAGGAATTGCTGCTGTCCTGGCAAAGGGTGGAACTGGTAAGACTTGAAATAGTTAGATGGAGTTCTGGAAAGGAGGAAAAAAGATGGCTGACTGGTCTACACAAGTTACACTGCTGTTCCAGGCTGAATTCTGAGAAGATGACTGAAACAAGCAGACGGGCCCAAGATCCTAATAAAGAGAAGCTAAGAAAGTCATATTCCTAACATATTCCCTTCATGGGAAACTAAAGAGAGAGGCTGAAGAGAAGACAAGCACATCATGCCAGCCCAAGAGAGACTGCCAACCTGAAAAATTAACCCCTTAACTCCAAGTACAAATGGAATCTAGAAACAGCAGTGTACATACTTAGCCAACATTGTAGGTTGAACAAATATCCAGTAAAGGAAAATAGTTAACTTTAAAATGCTTGGGCAGACACATAAGTCAAATCTTAGTGTTATTTCTATACTGCTGCTTATGAAAAAAGTTGTAAAGAGGCAGAAGAGTGGGGGAAAGGAAACTGACTTGTTTAGCTACTGTAATGAAATGCTGCTTAAACCACCTGAAAATAAAACTAGCAACTTGCCTTATTTTGTTACCAAAAAGAGGGGGAAAAAAATACAAGAATATACTCTGTGCTGCCCGTCAGATCAATTCTTGTAGACAGTAATCTTTTATTGGTAGATTTCTTTTTCCTTGACAGCTTCATGAACTTTTTTAAATATGGTAAACTTTAGATAGAGATTAAGCACAAACCAATTTCATGGTCTACAGGCAATACAAAACTGTACTCTGGATTTGCACTATAAGCAAATAGATTGATTGATCTGTTTATTTCCACAGAATCAAGCTATCATATGTGGAAAGCAGTAAAATGTATTTTGCATTTCAAACTTTGCACTAAAATTAATTACTCTACAGCAATTCAACATTATACCATTTATTGACTCATTGACTCCATATTTGTAAAGCCACCATAACAAACATTACTCACCTTTCCATATCAGTTTTTCTTGGTAATCTGTTTTCAGAAAGAAGAAGAAGAAAAAAGAATAAAATACTACGCCATGAAAGATTGCAAGAATATTACGTTTTAGACTATAAAAGGTATCTGATGTCTTTGCCTCTCAATATAGACAATGTCCTACATTCCAGAATACATGCAAATGCCAATGTATTTTGAGCCTATATTTTATAGCTTGACATTTAAACTTTTCCTAAAAGAAATCTTAAATACACTAATAATAAACACACATATAATACTTTAGATAAGCTTAACCATGAAAACTTGAATAGCAACTGACTCATTTTCTTCTGGTGGCAACCTATTTGCTATACAAACACGACATCTCTACACAGAGTATACAAAACTGAAAGAGAAGACATACTGTACATCTTCAGATGTATGATGAACACATATCTAACATGCATCACATACTGGAAAACACAACTTTATTACCCTCTGTACACATGTCTTGAATCAAAACGTCTGTATTATGCAAAAGGACATTGTTACAAGGTTTATACAAACTTAAATTGATGAAATATCAAGGCAGCATTTGACCCCAGCATGGGATCTGTAATTTAAATACTTCTAATTCTTACCCCTGGTCTCCCAACAATTGGTTCACGTAACTTTTACTGTCACTCTGAGATTTAAATGACAGCGTAACAGGCTGGATCTGTTCAGCAGCAAAACTCACTTTATTTCTTTTTATTGCAAACATCAGTTTTGTTACCAGACCCAAAGGCTTACACACCACTACTTCCTGCTCTTTTGTCCCTAACTTTAACTGAACATAGATCCCAAAGAAAAAATAAGTGTCTAAGCAGCAAGGATTTTCCCAAGCAATGCCGGAGAATGAACTATTGCTAGACGGAAAGTATGTGGAAGAACTGAAGCTGGGATACAGGACTCACAGGTCGGCGAGGACAGTGAGCTCCGCGTACGTTCGGTGCAAAAGAAAATCGATGAGCGTGCTAAGTCGGTAGCCAGGACTAGTTGCCGCGGTCGCCGTCCCTGGGGGCGGTGGGGCCGGAGCCGAAGCGGGCCCACCACTCACTGGGACCAGCTGATGGCTCTCCAGTTGCACCGGCGCCATCGTTGCAAAACAGGAAGAAACCAACCAATCCCCAACGCGCTGCTAAAGCCTTTTTGCACCCCAGCGATAGGCACCCACTGGCGAAGCTTCAAACGTAGAGAAGTGCTCACAACGCACTTCGTCGCCCAGCAAGCGCCATCGTTGCCGACAGTGACACCGCCATTGCTGGAGGGGGCGGGTTTGGACACTGCACCGGAAGTGATCCGGAGAAAGTGACGGACAGGAAATAAATCCCGTCTGAGACTGTACATGGATTATAGATCGTTTCCCTTTTTTTTTGGTAGTCTCAGGAACAGTTCCAAGCTTCCGGGTTCAAAATCTTTGTTTTTTTAATATTCAGGGGAAGAAGAGGGAGCAACTAAAATTCAAGAACAAATCCACTTTAAGGTAGCGATGAAAGCAGGATAATGCTCATTCACCGTTATGTTGTATTATCATAGGACCGAAGTAGATGTCATAATACAATTTTAACTTCCTTGCATTATATAAGCCTTAAAGACTCCCTCGAGTCGAATTCGATTCCAGACTTCATGAAGACATCCATACGTAGGGTTACCAGATATGAGCTGCAAAATCCGGACGTTCATTAGACAGCAGCAAAGAACTAAAGTACTCTGTGTCTCTTTGCTGCCAGCTGGTGGTCGTCTGGAATTTTGCAAGCCGATAGGTGGTTTTACTAAATTATTAAACATTAGGAGAATCTATTGTGTCAATACCAATCTAAATTACTGTAAGAAATAGGGTGTGCTAGGGCTTACTTATTTTGATAATGTAGCCTCAGTTTAAATAAAGTTAGGCTAAAATCTTTCGGAAATTAATCTTGCTTGAGGCTGCTAAATCTGGACTGCAAATCTGGTGGACCAATAGATAACAGCAAAGAGATACAGAAAATTCTAACCAGTTGCTGTGATAGTGGTCATCTCAATGTCTGCTAGCCAGATGTGGTAGCCTTAAGCAAAAATAATTTCTGGATGCCAGATGCAGAAATTTCTCTTTCATTCCATTTACAGCAAACTCAGTCTAATTAAACTTGTTTCTTTTTAGACTTGTTTATGTCTTTAACTGAATTATGTGATCATTTAATTGATTAATTTTATACCCCACCTTTCCTCTTGGACTGAAGATGATGTTCATAATGCTCCTTCCTATAATTATTCTCCACAGCAATTAGCCTTTAAGTAGTAACAACCTATAAGTTATTGACTAAGTTTACACATCTCATCACGCTATGGTTTTGTAAAACAAGCTATCATGGCCTGCTTCATGCAGCATACTAAGTGAATCACAAGTAGATTGGCTTCCTTGGCTTGATCCTAGCTAGTACTGTATGGAAGACCTGGGGCACTTCCAGACTGGCAGCTTTTTCACTAATTCTTATTTATTTTTCACTCATTCTTGTTTGTTTGTTTGTTTGATTAATTGATTTCAAGGCTGCCTGACTCCAAAAGGACTCTGAGCAGGTAACAATTTTGAAAGAACATATAATATAAAAAGAAAAACATGAACACCCATACGATCTTCACTGTCCTCAGCCACAAAAACAGAGTCAGAATAGCCTAGTTGTTCCACATAGCCATTTTAAGAACTCAAGTTTGAGCCAGCCAACACTTCCTTCCCATAAACAACATGAAGAAGTGCAAAAAAAAAAAAACAAAAACTGCCAGCTAGCATCATGCTGCCTCCCTGTCCTTATCTTGCTACTTTGCTGTTTGCTGCAGAAAGAACAAACAACTGCCCATTGCTTGCTAAGCCTGATGGAAGGACACCTATCACCACAGTGGCTTAGTTGATGACAACAAGGAGAAGAGAAAGAGTCCAAGATATTGGTAATCCCAGGAGCAAGAGGAGGACATTGGTGAGAGGTACCAGTAATGGGCAAACTGCCTGTTACTAAACCTTGCAGAGGTCAAGCAAAATTCATAGTGGACCTTTTGCGACTTGGGATTTTGGGTCAGGCATTATGCAGGCAGAAGAATCTGAAAGAACATATGAAGGGCAGTACCTAATAACTGGGTGGGAAAGGACACGTCAACCACAATCTAAGTAGCTAATGACAGCAGGGCAGATTCCAGTCTCTGGGTGTTTGTTTCAGCATCAGCATCAGCAGTGATGCATCACAGATCATTTATATGGCACAACTTCTATAAGAAGGAGAGCGAAAACTCTGCTTTAAAACTGGAATAGCTAATTACAGTTCTGAGCTGCCTCGACCATGAGCTGGATATGCACTGAGACCAAAATCAACTTTAGGTGTCCTCTAAAAATGGTTAGAGGGCAGCTTTGCACCATGGTTACCAGGATATGCAGATGAACTTCATGAGGCTTTATGTTAAAGTCTCAATTAATCACAGCCATGACAATGTTAGAGAGTACCATAGAACAGTGTGGACTTACACTAATAGGAAGTATAAAAAAGATGCATGGTGGTATAATAAAGAAGTGAAAGAGGGCATATGTCAAGCTGTTAAGCTGCTCACAATGAAGAAAGCTAAATTCTCACTGTCCCATTAATCAGATTGATTAAAAGGAAAAGAGGTTAGATTGCAGAATCTTGGAAACTGGGTATGTGTATTTTAGCACCCAATTATCAATAAGCTGTGAAGGTGGGGCCTTTTTGGTCCCCCTGACCCAGTTTGTACCTGTCTCTTGACACGGAGAAGATGCTGGTACTCATTTGCCTGATAAGGAACATACAAAAGTTCCGACCCTGAAATATTTTGCAAACTATCATTCCTGTTCCCAGGCACAGAGAATTCCATTACACTGTGGAGAAAAAAATGCATAGCTGAGAATATTACTGCAAAAAATTAGGATGAGAGGAAGCTATTGTTTAATGTGTATAGAGAGAAAAATATAGTTGCAAAGAATGTAGTTAAAGAGAGTAGGAAACAGTTAAGAGTGAGAGAGGCAGAGAAAATGCAGAATGCTTTTGACTGAAATGAACATTGTTTTGGAAGTGGGAATAGTAAAAAGGGCTAAAAAAGGAGCCACTAGCAGAGTGAATAGAATTAAAAATAAAAGTCATTAAATTATTTGGGATGAAATGCAAGCTGGAAGGATATTTTAGACATTTGCATGGGAGTGACAGAGATATATTGAAGAATGGAACTGAAAGCTGTAAATTGTAATATGCAAGAAAAATTATGAAAAAGAAGTAATACATTCTATGAGAATACTGAAAAATGGTAAGACTGCAGCTGTAAATAATGTAACTAGAACAATGTTAAAATATGTACGTGGCTTGCTATGCAGCTTAATGTCTGTGTGAAGATGTGTGCCTCACAACTGGAAAAATGCCATGTGGAATCACTGGCACCAGAATGGATTTAGTTATTAACTTGCATGATTGTTATTAATATTGTACTGTTGTAGTGGTTTTTATTATTGTTTCTTTATATCACCTAGAATCTTTTTGGATTGCAGTGGTAAATAAAACCCATTAATAAGTACAATCATTGATCTCCCATACAAAAGAAAGCTAGCAAGAATGAATACAAAACTAAGGGGGATTAAGTATATGATAAGTATATATGTGAACATGTTTGACAGAATTCTGATTATGACAGGTGTCAAGGACACAATTTGGGAAGGGCAGTGTGGCTTTATGTCAAGAAGGAGATGTGCAGACCAGATTTTTGTTCTTTAGCAGATCACTAAGAAATGCACGTGAGAATGTTTATTGCATGTTTGCTGATTTAGAGAATGTGTCTGATGGTGAATAGACTTGGATTATGGAAATTTTGCATTAATATGAAGTTGAAAGTTGGTTGTTGAATGCAATAAAAATGATATAAGATGGAAGCAAAGTATGCATGAGTATGAATGGAATGCTTAGCAAATGGTTCAACATCAGTAAGATAAGATTATGTGATGTTCCTTATTTCATGAATTTATGAATATAAGAAATAATGCAAGAAATGCTTCTGGTGACATTAAAGGTATGTAGGCTGGAGTCAAGAATGTGCATATAACTTATATGCATATGATGCTGTCTTATTGGTTGATTATTGCTAGAGGGAAGATATCTGCAAATGTCATACAGTGTGAGGATTAGATCAGCCTATGTCAGAAGCAAAGAGCCTGAGACCAGACCAGTTTGATTGATAATACACTGGTGTCAATCATTGCATCAACCTAAACATCATATACTCTCAGCCCATTATGCTGAAGAAAGAAGTGTAAATTTTGAAGATAAATTCTGAGAGATTAGGTTGCATCTTGCACTCTGCAGTTGCCAGATTTCTTCATTAACTGGTTTTCTAGTCTTTGCAATAAACCTAACTTATCAAAAAGCTGTGCCCTTGAATTACTGCCTACAAGCCTTTTAGTTGCAGGATCAATCAGAGAAAACCTTTACAGATAGATTGTATGATGTAGCAACGAATGTGGATCTGAAAACGAACATAGCAAAGTAGTGTTTTGTCGGGAAAGGCTGTTCCCCACTGATACTACCACTATAAATCTTACAAGCAGCAATTCAGGGATACAGCTCTAGATATGTTGATTTTATTGCAGGCCCTAGAAAAGGCCAGTTAAATTCCAACAGTTTTGCGGTGTTTCCTCTGGATCTACAGAGCACATGAATTCCCACCAAATCCATCTCCCTGTTCCTTAGAGTTCCTCTTCCTTCCTGAAGTCAAGCAGCAGTTCCCATCTTTCTGGTTGTTTTGAGGGACCACTTTGCTGGTCTTTCACACAGTGGCTGGTTTTTGTTTTCTTTTTCTTGTTGCAGAAAGCAAATGTGATGAGGGAAGGATGAGGGCATGTGACTATGTCTGCTGGCTGCCATTTGTGCTCTGCCTATTGGCCAGTTGGATCAAGGGGAGTACAAAGCACAGTGAGGCTGGCAAGGCCTTGGCCAATTTTGCACGTATAAATATAATTACACCTGGTTAGTACTTGGATGGGTAATCATCAAGAAAACCTATGCTTGTAGTCTAGACTGGGAAGTCAACAAACATTGTAGAAAAGAGCAATGGCAAGCTACTTCTCCATTACTGCCAAAAAACCCCACATGAACATGTCCATAAAATCACCCGGACCTGAGTTCATCCCAAAGAACACTTCATGTTTAGATGAGCAGAGGGCATGTACTGCAAGTATAAGCTGGTTAAACGAAATGGATCCAAGAGAAAATTTTATTATGTTATAGTATGCCATCTTCATTTATAAATTTATATTCAAAGAGCAGTATAAATTTGTATATGTAAAGGATTAATTAATTTTTCCCCTGCTATCCTAGCTATTGTTCAACAGACAGGAATCATAAAATAGTTTAATCTGTTACCATCATATTTTTCTATAGTATAATAAAATTATTGATCAACAATAAACATGCAGCAGAACAATACGTACATGTACTTGGAGCTCACCTTTCATTAATGGTTTTATACTTCTTAGAAAAATTAAGATAAAATTTAGCTAGCATCTATCTTATTGACCAGAAATTCCATCTAATTATCTTGCTAATTTTCACTATTTGCTACATTTCAGGGCTAGGAGTGTATGGGAGGTTTCATTAGTATACTACCTTCCCTGTACAGAGTACAGTCTCTCTTCCTGAGGTAGCTGGGGCAATCTATTGCATGTCACTGCGTTACTCAAGATTTCTTGTCCTGGGGATTTCACGTTCATGCTGAGGTTGCCTAATCAGGAATGTCTGAAGATTTCATATTTGCTATGACAACCTGTACAAGTGATATCTGGTCTCATTCATGTAGCAGGCCACGTAGTGAATTCAGTATTCTGTTTGGGTGAAGCTGGGGATCAGAAAATGGACAAACTCTGCTTTCATTGAGAGATCATTCTCTAGAAAGTTTTAGATTAGTGGTTACACAGATAGAGGATCAGCTAAAATGGTCTGACCCAGACACCCTATGGATTCAGTCAGTTTTCTGAATATGCTTGAAATTCCTGTCTTTTGATACTATTGAAGCCCTGGCCAATCTGTGGAATATTGAGATGTGCTGCAGAATTCACAATATTATTTGAAAGTGCTCTTTTCCCTCTACTAAGTTCTCTTGAGAACAATGACATTGTATGAGAAGAGAGTACAGATGAATGACTTCTCATGATGATTCAGTTTAAACATGGAATGGGGCTTCTTTTCAGGCCCATCCTATTCCAAGATACTGGAGGCAGTGAAGAGGTCCTACTTCTCTGCCTCCATTATGTCTAAAGAGACCTGTGGCTGGTGATACTGCAATGCCTAGCATTTCTTTCATTGAGCCTTTAATTAATTAATTTTAATATTTGATATTTATTTGTATTTCGATTATATTGTTTGGTCTACATTTTGTATTATTGTTACTACTGTTAGCTGCCTGGATTATCAAACACATAGAAAGATGAAGTACAGCTCATAAATAAACAAACTCCAATTTCAAACTGTTCTGGGTACTTTTGCAAATCATGAATGTTTGAAGTATGAAAAAAAAATTAAATGGATAAATAGTATGAGACTGTTTCTTGCTTTGCAGTCAGTTTATATGCTAGGAAAAGGAAAAAGATAATTGTTTCAAAACAAGTTGAAATGGACATTTGAGACACTTTCATTTGGAAAAAGGGTGAATGGAGAGGGTTACGATAAAAGTTAAGAACTTTTGTTCTTAACAAAAGTTAAGAACAGTTAGGAAATAGGCACAGTTCGGATAAACTATAAAGGGGAAAGTTATTTCCTCTGTCGTAATTCTAGATTTTGGATCCAATTAAATGATCAGAGATATACAAAATACTTTTTCACACATTGTATACAGTAGTTAAAACAGAGCATTTTGTGTAATGCTATGCTGGTCAATGACTGAAATAAAGATTTTGGTTTTATTTGGGGCATTCCCTTTCACAGGTTTGATGGTTCTAATCACGACAATGATTAGAATCAGAGGCAGTATTCCCTTTCATACCAATTAATGGGGAATGCAGCAATGAGTGTGCTCTTATCTCTGGTTAGATATCTTGAAAATAAGTTCCTGGATTAAATAGGACTTTAGTCTGATCTAGCAGAGTTCTTATTTCATTCTTATTATATAGATGGATATAAATAAGAAGTTAAATATATTTCATATTTAAAGATAATTAATGTTCTAAATTTTCCTAAGAAAAAAAATGCAAACATTGAATTTTTGAAGGCATTTACATAGGAAATGGAGTCACAGTACTTCCACTGTTAAGTAATTTGCTATATACTAGCACTCTTCATTTTAAAATGTATCCAATTTTTGTAAAACATCTAAATAAAATAGAGTAAATAAATTTTGAAGACACTATATGGAATGTTCACGAATGCAAAATATCTTTTTTTACATATACAGTACTTAGATACAGAATCTACATTTCATCTGAAAAAAATTAGCATTAGTTTGATTTTGCATCTTTCTAGACTTATAGAAATGTTTTAGACTCTGCAAGAATGCAAACTAGATTTCCAGGTATCCAAGCCACATTGCATACTGTTTTATGTTGCATGTAATTATGTATTTTTCCACTTAATTCAGACAAAGTAAAACTTTATTCTATTTTTAAATAGGTTGCAGAAGTCTTAAAAAAAAGAATTGTCTGATTATTTTAAATATTTTGAAGGAAGCATTAGCAAACATTTTTTAAAATCTAAAATGAACTTAGGCTTTCAGGATAAGGAAAGAAGTATTTGATAACGCTAAAGGATCTGCAAGAAATAATTTAAGATATGCATAGTACTGTAGTGAAGAATTATTTTCCAGTGAGTACTGGTGAGAATGTAATTCTAAGCCTCATCAAAAAAAAAAAAAATACTGTCTCAGTTTTTCTTGATGTACATTTGTCTAATAGGTGCCTAACTGGCTTTAGCTCCTGGAGACTTCATGGACATGTCCATTCAGTTTCCATTATAGCAGCATAGAAATAATTTGTGTCTGCTTTCCTGTGAGATGTTTTTGCAAATTCCCAGGCTAGCCAACAATTTGTATTCCTTGGCAATCTCTCGTTCAAGAACTGGGTCCAGCCCACACCTGATCCTGCTTAGTTTTTGACATAGTATTGCCACTGGAGAGAGTACTTTCAATAATAATCATAGAATATTGGAAAAGAGCAAGTTCTTATGATTTTTAATTATGATTTTTCCCTCATAGTTTTGAATTAAAACTGGGGTGAAATTATTGTCTATAAGCAGTGGGTTTGTATATGCCTGCTAAGTTACCCTGCTTCTGCCAGGTCTTTTATTTCAGGAAGCCAACAAATGAAACTATAGTAATATGAAACGGGTGAGAAAAATGATGGAAGGTATTTGATATAAGCTGAAACCAGTCATTCTAATGTTAGCACAGAAGAGAATCAATATGGTTGTTTATACAACCTTTTGAATCATACATTAACAGTTGTGTTCTTGGAATATGCCAAATCAAAACAAACCAACCACAGTATAAGCTAACATGATTGTCTGGTTTTGGCTTGGCCATAATGGTTTACAAGCCATGGTTGATAGCTTAAATGTTTTGACTGATCATAGCCAATGTATAGCAGATTTTGTCTTGAAATTTCAAATCTATGTAATAAATCATGCTAGGTACAAAGTGATTGATTGACTCCTAACGATCATATAGACATATATTAGATAGACAAAGAATACTCAGTAGCAGGGTGGTAATACTTCTGCATTATGCCAGGTTGAACCAGATGTCTAGTTTTCCCACTACAATAGCAAATAAAGAGCGAGATGTCTTCTCAGTCTTCCAAAGTCCTAGAGAAAGACACCAACTCTTCTCATTTTTGTAGCATTTGTTCAGTTGTCTTCAATACCGTTTCCAGGATTTTTACCCAGACCAGACATGAGTACAGACTAATTTCCTCTGATGACAATAACAATGCACAACGTCTGCCTCTCAAACTAACACAATGAGCTGAAGCTTCAAAGGGAAATAGGCTAAGGCCTTTCTGCACAGCTTTTCCAATGCGAAGTCCGGGAAGCAAATGCCATTTGCCTTTCTCCCCATCAGCTTGGCAGCCGAGCCCTCGTTCCCGCCCCACCCACGCGTCAGCCTTTGGCTGGCCCCTGGGACGGAGGGGAAAGGAAGGGGAGGATCAATTCCGCCCCTCCCCTCCCGAACACGAAAGGTGACGTCATTATCCGGGCTCTTCTCACCGCGGGTCACAATGGAGCCGAAACGGAGCTCAACCGAAACGAAACGGCTGGGCAGCCACCCGCCTCAGTGATCGCGGCCCGGCCTCGTTAACTCGGGCCCCGCTCGGCCGCCGTCGCCGTCCAGCCCAGCCAGCAACGCTGTCAGGCCTTGGCCCCTCCCCCGCCCTCTACACACGGCACACCAAGCAGACCCTACCACAGTACGGCGGCGACCCTAGCCCCACATAAAGCAAGGCGTGAGCGGCTGCTGCTCCCTGCACTGTCTCGGGACACGGAAGGGGGCTGTGGGAGTGACTGACTGACTGACACTCAGGAAAGGGAGGGGGTCACGTTGGCCGCCGCGAACGCTGTTTGGGTGGCGGGGCCGGCGCCGCTGCGTTGAGTCGGAGTCTGCGCTGCATATGCTGTGAGCCGAGCCCTCCTAGAGCCGCCATATTGCCCGGGACTCAGACGCTCCGTCTCTGCTGCTGCTGCTGCCGCCGCCACCTCCGTCGCGATTTTGCTCCTAGGCGCAGCGCGGGTTTCCCCCCCTCTTCTAGAGGTAGCCTCGTTGGTTTCTCGCTGCTGGCCTTGCCAGTCCAGGCCCCCTTCCTATCTCCTATTCCCATCCCCTTCTCCAGGGATTGAAGGTATCCGATTTCCCCGGATGAGGTGGTATAGCCCGCAGGCCTAGCTCAGCTTAACAGGAACCACAGGACGAGAGAGAGCGTCAGCCCGCCCGGGCCCTGCAACACACCAGCAGTGGGGCGGTCGCCGAAAAGCTGGTGACGCAAAACTAAAAAGAAGAAAAGAAAGGAAAATACAAGAAAAGGTTCCCCCGGAAAGGAGGCTCGGTCGGGAAAGCGACGCGGGACACCTTCCTGCAAAACCCGGCGTAGGAAAGCCGGCTTCTCTAGCAGCCACCGCCACTCGTCTTTTCCTTGGGATGAGGCGCAGCCCCGTTGGTTGCTGCGGCGGCG